CCCCAAAACCCCAAAACCCCAAAACCCCAAAACCCCAGGAGGTTTGTAAAATATTGAGAAATTAGTTTAAAAAATGCCATAGAAGTTTTAACATTCACTTGAGGTTTAAGTGTAAAAAATTGAAGATTTAGTTATCCCTGTCGAGGCTATGACTCATCTTTGCGTTAGATCTCATGAAATTGTTGTTTAACTTTTTATTAAAGCCTGTGACTACTTGGGAGGAGTCGTTATAGACAGTGTATTTTCTCTTAAAAGAGTCATATCTTAAATTATTCTTACTCTTCTTATCTTTCCCAGTCATTGCTTGATTCTCATAAGGATAGAGGTTATGCTTCTTATTTCTTGTGTTTAAATTAGAGGAAAGGTTCACTGCGTTGGGTATTGATGAAGAGGAATGCCGAAAATCTTTAAACCTCTTGTAGCCACTACTCTTCCTAAGTTCTTTAGTAATGGCTAACTTGATGTTCTTTTCGTTCATATATCCTCCTCCTTCAATGGATAAATTGCTATTTTAAAAGATCATTAATTCGGCTTCTTTTCATTGAATATTGTATGCTCTTTTTCTTAATATTCATAGATTGTTGATGAGCAGGTCCCTTGTAAAGCTCAGCAATTGATTTGTTCTTAGCTATTTCAACAGAAACATTTCGCTCCTTTGGGTTCCTAGGGTTGGATTCCTTCAACAAAATTTCACTCCCAGTATGATGCTTTTTGGTCCTCGCTCTCTTTCTTCTACTATTTCCTCGAGAGTCATTATGGCTGTAAATCTGATTTTCTATTCTCTCTGAAGACTTTAAATCTTTTTGTCCTCGCCCTGAGAATTTTCTTGAATTGGCTTCAATAGAATCATTGGCATTGCTGTTGTCTTTCCTCTTTTTATAAACTGAGATGTGCAGATTATCTGTATTGACATCCTTGTCATGTATAATAATCGTTGTAGATTTACTATCAAACTGAGATGTCTTTTCTTGGCTAGAAAAGATAATCAGATTAGAAATTTGTAGAAATTACCTTCCTTTTCTTTTCCTGCTCTTCTTAGAAGCATCACTTATAGTTAAGGGGCGGGTGCAACTTTCCTCTTCAGAATCTTTATGATTTCCAGATGCTGCAATGGCATCATTACTTATGTTCTCCGTATTGTTCTTACTCCGGATTAGCTTTCTTTTGCCTTTTGAGGTCAAAGGTCGCGATCGCTTTTCCTTAATGCTTTCAGAGCTCTTCTCTGGTTTTATTGCTAAAAGTTATTAAAGTTCTTACAAAGATAGTTATCATTATATTCATTATTAGAGTCATTGTTGCCATTCTTGCTCTCGACATTCTGGGCACTGCTCGATGCTTCCAAGTTCTTCTCACTCTGGGGTTCATCCTTGTCGTCGAAAATGTCTGCAAGATAGTCATTCTGAGGGATATCAAGTGGAGTCAGCCTGATCGATGTCCCTCCAACCTTCTTGACCATTGGAGCCAGCTTGCCGCTGATGATTCCATTCTGTGCTTTGAAAATGTGCACGTCTTCTTGGACTTCTTTGTCTTCAGGAATTTCATCATTTCATGGTGAGTGGTGTTTAGAGTATGAATTCACAATGTGCTTGACCAGCGGAGCATTCGAGGGCAAGAAATTCACAGCAAGCTCGACCGCTTTTCCGTGCCAGAACTCAGCATCCTGGGTATCTTTGAAGCCTTCTGTGTTCATTTGTTTCAGAAACCGCAGCTCCGTCCCGATGCAGAAGTAAGAAGCCACGAGCAGAATCAGTCGTTCGACAAGGTTTTCACGAGTCAGAATGAGGTCTGGAGACCTGTTTCCGTAGACATCTCTGAAGTCAAGTCGCTTCAGCTTCATGATGTTAGTGATGTTCATGTAGTCATGGTACAAATTCTGGTTCATAAACCCGAGAATGTTCCTCATGTCGATGTCGTTTGGATCTCTGTTCTTGTACTTTTGATCCATAGTCGCTTTAGCTCCGTCAGTAGTGACATATCTTTCAGCTTTGGACTCCAGAGTGTCGACTCCATTCTCTTCTCTGACCAGTCTCTTGTAGATTTCTTTGAGGACTGGCTGAATTGAAATGTAATTCTTTTGTAGAATCGACAGAAAAGTAAACGACTGGCCATCATCTTTGTCGCTGTCTTTCTGGTCCATCGACTCCAAAATGTCTCTGACTTTCATGGCATCGCTGTAGTTGAAAGTGTCTCGAATCAGATAATGCGATATTCGGACAGAGATTTGGGAGTGATACAAGCCTTCTCGGTGTCGGTGAAGCTGAGAGAACAGCGCTCAAAGCTGCATCCGCAACAACCCTTCAAGGTAAATAATGTGGTTCTTGACCGGAGGCGCCTGGAACTCAGGCATCAAAGACAGTATTTCTAAATTCAAAACTGCAGTTTCTATAAAAATAAAGACGCTTCTTCAAGGTTCCCCATCATTTGATGGCAAAGTGCTGTGTTATGGAATATAATCACGATGATAAGTCGGTCTTTCTTGAACTTAGTCTGATCAACCAGCACCTGAGCTTTCTGGAGCAATATCAGAGCTTTGTCCCATTCTTCACGGTCCATATACAACAAGGAATTTTCATGTAATTCAAACAGCACTGTAGGGACTTCAAATGGAGCAAGGTCCATATCTCTATTAAAAAGTTGTCTCAAATAAGTTTTCACTGGCATCTTTAGTACTCTCCATTTTAATACCAAGGTCTTTTTCATCAAAGGCTGTGTTCTGGCTATCACTAAAGTTTTCGTCTTCGCTAGCGTTCATATTCTATTCAATTTTATTATGATTATTTGGGGTTTTGGGGTTTTGGGGTTTTGGGGTTTTGGGG